GCCGCCGCCACCATTGTTTTTGTCGTCGCCGTCGCCGTCGCCGTCGCCGTCGTCGCCGTCGAGGCTGCCGCCGCCACTGCTGTCGTCGCCCTCGCCCTCGCTCTCGCCCTCGCCGTCGCCGTCGCCGTCGCCCTCGCGCAGTCGCCGTCGCCGCCGCCGCCGCCGCCGTCGTCGCCGTCGTCGTCGTCGTCGTCGTCGTTGTCGTCGGCGCCGAGTGCTCTCCGGAGATCTGTGCCGGGGGGCATGCGTGGGGTGCGGCACAAGGTCACGGCAGGGGTTGCGCAGGGCACGGTGCAGGGCACGGTGCAGGGAACAGTGCAGGGCACTGTGAAGGGCACGGTGCAGGGCGGGTAAAATGCGTTTCTCGCGTTCGTTCGAGTCCGTTCTAGTCAGGCCCACGGACCCCTCCGGGGCACCACTCCCGACCAGTGGTCGAGCCGCGCCCAGCCTTGGCGACGAGTGCGGGCCCCGATGGCTCAGAAAACGAGGGAGCAATGGGGCAATGGAGGAGGAGGGGGAGGGAGGAGGAGGGAAGATGATGAGGAAGAGGAATGAAGGAGAAGGAGGATTGAGAACGAGGATGAGGATGAGGAGGAGGAGGAGGAGGAGGACGCTGGGACTTCGAGGTGGATCTAGCTTTGGCCATGAGCCCACCCCCCGAAATTCCAAATACATCGAAGTTCTTCGCTCCTCCTCCTCTTGATCCATCCGTCTTCCTCACGAAATAGCTGTTTCGTCGCACCACCAGAAGTGTCAGTAGAGCGGGCTGGGCGTTTCGCTAGAGGTTTCCTTGCCGTTGTTGATCTTCAAGCATGGCACATCCAACCGTGACATGTATGGAGGGTGGGTGGTTTTCAGGATGTGGCTCTCGCGCTAGTGCCGCGCACATTCGTCTCTGGCTCAAGCAAGATAACCCTCAAGGAGCTCAGGAGCTCAGGAGCTGTACCCCCTTAAATTCCCAATCGCACCTGTACCCCCTTAGTTTCCTGGTCACACCTCTCCTCCTACTTTCAGTCCCCCCTCTCAGCTTCCGATCTCTCATGGCGGGACGCTGCCGGATCTGTGGCTCACGGCGTCGACGGCCTCGCCCTGCCGGGCGCGGACGTCTGCGAGGCGCACCAACCGTACAGCACGGCCTCGGAGGGGATCACCACAGGTCTCACCCAGTCGCTGGACGAGCTCGGCATGGACAATCCGGCGCAGGGGTTGGGCCTCGTGACGGTCAGGAACAACGATGAGGCGCTCGCTGGCATGGACGTCGACCCTTTTGGGCTTGCAGCGCCGCAGATCTCACTGACAGACTTTCGGGAGCTCCTGGAGGCTGGAGCGCTTCGTCACCTCGAGCTCATCCAGGCCGAAGCAGCGGCAGCCCGACCACAGTTTCGCGCTGAGGTCTCCCTTCCTGGTACATGGCTGGACATGATGGGCATCCTCAGCAAGATGGCCTACCAGCTCGATGCGCAGGATCCGTGGGCGGTGCTCGGATTCGGCCCCCTCAACGGCCCCGAGCCCTCCGAGGTGGACACTCTCTCGGGCCCGCCTGGCCAAGACTCTCCTCAGCCTGGGGGAGGGTACTACTTGGGACGAGCGCGATCGAACCCAAGCCATGCAGGCTCAGGCTAAGATAGCGGATGCGGCGGCCCGCTGTGAGGACGGCCTTTCGGACATTCACCGGGCTCGCAGGCAGTTCCATCCGGATCGACTCCCTCGGTGGAAAGAGTTGGGCGGCGACGCCATCATCGCGGTGAGGGCCAGCCCGGAGGCCAACGGCAACTTGCTCGTGACTCAGTGGTCTCAGGTTCTGGACACCATGGGCCAGCATGCGGCGTCGGTCGCTAGGCACCAGCAGCTCTCCGACATGCTGGAGAAAGGCGACGAGAAGTTCTTGGGGGAGGTGAAGGGGCAGCAGGTGACGGCGTGGGCGCCCTCCGACACCGGAGCGCTCAACAGGATCCTGTCCAGCTTCCCACGCAGGGACCCTGAAGAAACTCCGTCCTCGCTGCTTCTCCTCGTGCCCCTACCTTTCTTCCCTGGGGTATCCTCGGTGACGCAGTTCCTGGACCTGTGGGGCACTCCCTCCTCGGGGAGAAGCATGCGGTCAAGAACATTGTCAAAAACGTCAGCCTCTTTCCGCAGCCGATGGGATACGTACTCCCGGGGCTTCGAGGACCACGTCATGTACGTCGAGGGCTTGCGTGCTTTCGCATTGCACGCTCGGGTCCGCGGACCCCCCCACGATCGTCCTCCCTCGTGCGTTTCTGCTCCAGGTTCCCAGCTCCGCCAGCATCATCGTGGACACGCCGACGGACTTGATCCCGACCCTCATGGGCAAGCTGGCCACAACGGAATTCCGCGACTTGCAGCTCCGGGACCCTACCCAGAGCGTTGGCAGCACCGTGGAGCTCCACAGGATTTCGGTCGAGGTGTTCCTCCCGCATGGCCTCTCCCCGGTCGGGGCGGAGATCATGGTCAGGAAGATGAAACGCCTGGTGCTCACCCCCCGAGATGCTCGTCAGGAACAGGGATCTCTTCGTCGCGGACGACGCCTTGATCCTCGAATGCCTTTCGCCGGCGGTGATGGCCAAAGCCGGCCCCTTGTGCACCGAAGCTCTGTTCTTTTTGTCGGAGAAGGTTTTGGTCCAGACGCAGGCGTCGGCCGGCACCTGGGTAGAGCTGATGGACTCATTATGTCGGGAGGGGGAGCTTACCATCATCACGAAACTCCGATACAAAGCAAGCCGTTTCGGCGGGCGCCCGTTCGCTTTACCTTCTGCCACTGCCAGTACCATGGCGGCTGCTCGGCGCCGCCGGGGTAAGACTGGACGTGCACCCCAGCTGATGGACTTCGCGACGGAGGTCAGGATCAACGGCGAGCCCGGGCTCCAGGACAAACTCATCTTCGACAGGATTATGGCCCACGTCAGTAGCAGTACCGGCATCACGTTGACTGCTTATGAGAACACTCCAACGTGCGCTCCGGTTTCCGGTTTCTGGAAGCACCTCGCCTCCCATGATCCTGCGGCCCCTCCTGGGCGAGCTCGCCTCAGTTTGGGTACTCAGGAAGAAGTCGCGAAAGTACAAGCTGCCCTTCATGGCCAGGTGCTCCAGGTTGGGAGCGACTGGTTGTCGATCACGGTGCACAGCGACTTGATGGATGCGCGCCACCTGGCGGGAAACGGGTGCCGGGTGCCCTGAGCGATCCCCGGGCACCCGGGACGGCGGTGTATCGCCAATGCATGCGCTTTGGAATTCAAGTTTTTGAATTGGATGGCCCTACCGTACCCATTGGCTGCTGGACCTCGACATATCTCTCCGCTGTCCCCTCGATCAGCCGAGTGCTTTGCTCCAGGACTCCGTGGTCAATTCTGGCAGGGACGTCGGCACTACGAATTCATCCTCCTCCCCAAGTCGCGTGTTCTCCAGATCTTCTTCCTCAATGCGGTGGTCTCCATGCACTCAACCTCGGCTCCGACCTTCTATTACCCCATGCCCACGATAATAATGTACCCCCCCTTAAGTCGTTAGAGTTTTTTATCGTCGACCAATAAGAGTTTGGTCGGGGGCGCGGGGCGCGGAGGCCAAACTTCATTATCACCTCGGAACGTTATGTTGAGATAGCAAGATCAAGTTATGTTGAAATAGCAACATCAAGCGAAGCGATCACACTTTTTTCAGGATGTCTCAAGCGAAACCAAACATTTTGGGAGGCAGGCTCAAACGAAACGAGCAATGTTTCAAGGATGTCTCAAGCGAAACCAGTAATTCTGTGAGGGTGTCTCAAGCGATTCGAGAAGCTTGTCGAGGATGTATCAAGCGAAACAAGCATCTACTCGAGGATGTCTCGAGCGATTCGAGAAGCTTGTCGAGGATGTCTCAAGCGAAACACTCATATACTCGAGGATGTCTCAAGCGAAACAAGCGTATACTGAAGGATGTCTCAAGCGAAACGATACGTTTCTTAAGGATGTCTCAAGCGAAAACAACAATTCTGTGAGGATGTCTCAAGCGAAACCAAGAATTTTGGGAGGCAGGCTCAAACGAAACGAGCAATGTTTCAAGGATGTCTCAAGCGAAACCAGCAATTCTGCGAGGATGTCTCAAGCGATTCGAGAAGCTTGTCGAGGATGTCTCAAGCGAAACAAGGATATACTCGAGGATTGCTCTTTTTCTTCCTCTTCTCTTCTCCTTTTTTCTTTCTTAATTTATAATTTTATTTCTTTATGTATTTCTTTATTTCTTTCTTTTTTTCCTCTCTCTCTCCCCATGCCCCCCTGAACTTGTTTATCCCTGGTGTTGATTATCCATGGCAAATGAGGCACATGAGCTACCCTACACGAGCACTCAAACAAATCAATTTTCAGAAAGCGCTTGTCAATTAAATCTAATATATTTGGAACTTGATTTTTTTTGCGCATTTTCTTGCTCTTCTCTTCTCCTTCATTTTTCTTAATTTATATTTTTATTTCTTTATATATTTCTTTATTTCTTTCTTTTTTTCCTCTCTCTCCCCATGCCCCCCTGAACTTGTTTACCCCTGGGGTTGATTATCCACGGAAAGTGAGGCGCATGCGCTACCCTACACGAGCACTTAAACATTTTAAGTTTCATAAAGCGTTTGTGCATCAAAATTTAATAATTTGAATCTTCAGTTTTTTTGTTTTATCCTCCTTTCCTCTCCTCTTCTACTTCTCCTCCTCATTTCTTCTTGTCCCTTTCCTTTTTAATATCTCTTTTATGTATTTCTCTCAGCGCTCTCTTTGTTTTCTTTATTTCTCTCTTTATATCTTTCTCTCTCCCCATGCGCCCCTGAACTTGTTTATCCCTGGGGTTGATTATCCGCGGAAAGTGAGGCACATGAGCTCCTACACGAGCACAACAAAAAAAACAATTTTCATAAAGCGTTTGTAAATAAACTATAACAGATTTGGAACTTGATTTTTTTGTTTTTCCTCTTCCTCTCCTCTTCTACTTATCCTCTTGAATTTTTCTTCTCCTCTTCATTTTCATTATTTCTTCTCTCTCTTTCTCTCTTTCTATCTCTCTGTCTCTCTCCCCCCCATGCCCCCCTGAACTTGTTTATCCCTGTGGTTGATTATCCATGGAAAGTCTGGCAGTTTTTTTGTATTATTATTTCCTCTCTGTCTTTTTTTTCTCTCTATCTCTCTCTGTTTCTCTATCTCTCTCTCCTCTTGCTCCTCTCCTGTCTTCTCCTTTCCTCTCCTCCTCTCCTTCCTCTCTTGCTTTTCATTATCTCTCTCTCTCTTCTCTCTCTCTCTCTCTCTCTTTCTCAATTTTCATAAAGCGTTTCTAAATAAAATCTGATGGATTTGAAACTTGAAATTTTTGCTTTTCCTCCTCCTCCTCTATCTGTCTTTCTTTCTATATATCTTCTCTTCTTCTTATTCTTCTTCTATTCTTCTTCTTTTTATTGTTATGTTTATATATTTAAATATATTTTTGTTTATCTTCTTTTTTTTCCCTCTCTCTCTCTCTCTCAGCACAACCCCCCCACAACCCCCCAGCACAACCCTCCAGCACAACCCTCCAGCACAACCCTCCAGCACAACCCTCCAGCACAACCCTCCAGCACAACCCTGCAGCACAACCCCTCAGCACAACCTCTTGAGGTTTATTATCGTCGGCAGTTTTTTATCATCGGCAGTGGTCGATAGCAACTCCTGAGCTCTCCGGGAACACGGCGGCACGCGGCACGCATGATACGCATGTTTTTGAAAAACTTCTAATTGCGAATTCCATTGAAATCTTTTCGAATTTGCGAAATCGAGCCGTCAGGCGCTTGAATGCCGCACTGCGTTCGAGATTTAGGCGAAAGCGTGTGCGACGCAATTTTCTCATGACACGCATTTTTTTGAAAAACCTTATTTTGACAAAAAATACTATATTTGGTTGCGAATTCCATTGAAATCCTTTCGAAATTGCGAATTCGAACCCGCACGCGCCTGAATGCCACGCTGCGTTCGATATTCGGGCAAAAGCGCGTGCGACGCAAATTTCTCATAAATGCGCCGCGTGCTTAAATCTCGAACGCAATGTGGCATTCAAGCGCCTGACGGCTCGATTTCGCAATTTTGAAAGGATTACAATGGAATTCGTTTTTTTTTTTTTTTTTTTTTTTTTTTTTTTTTTTTTTTTTTTTTTTTTTTTTTTTTTTTTTTTTCAAGATGAAGTTTTTCAAAACAATGCGTATCATTTGCGTGCCGCCGTCTTCCGGGAGAGCTCAGGAGTTGCGGTTGACCCCTGCCGATGATGAAAAGCTGCCGACGATAATAAACCTCAGCCGATGATAGAAAAAAACTGCCGACGATAATAAACCTCAGAGGAGCGCACGGCGGGAGAGAGAGAGAGAGAGAGTCTCACCTCTCTCTCTCTCTATATATATCCCTCCCTCTCTCCTCTTTCTCTCACTATCTCACTCTGCTCAAGGTGAGCTGCTGAAGCAGAGCTGCTCAAGCAGATGGCTGCTCAGAGAGCAGAACCAGACAATGAGACCTTCGAGAATAAAAAACACAATTATTTCGAGGATGGCTCAAGCGAAATAAGCAATAGTTTGACGGTGTCTCAAGCGAAATAAGCAATTTATTCAGGATGTCTCAAGCGAAATACGCAATAGTTTCAGGATGTTCAGGCGAAATCAGCAATCGTTTGATGATGCTTCAAGCGAAAAACACAAGTATTTCGAGGATGTCTCAAGCGAAATAAGCAATAGTTTGACGGTGTCTCAAGCGAAATAAGCAATAGTTTGTGGATGTAATGAAGACTAAACGCCAAGGATGTCTCAAAACGTGCTCGGTTTAGTTTCCTCTTGATCATCTCTTACTCCGAGATTATGCTGAGGTCTGGTGGGCTACTTTGCTTATCTCCCCCTGAACCCCGAACTTTATTATCCCCTAGTGTTTATTATCGTGAGCATGGGGTTACCCGTTCTTCCACTCCACCTGCTCCCAGATGCTCCCCACGACGATGCAGGTGATTTATCGCAGACACGGTGTGCCGGTTCATATTCTTCGCCGGCAGGCTGTTTTGCGCGCTGTGGGCGCCTCTTTCTAGAGCGATGGGCACCAGTTTGCGAGGGAAGACACCTCCGCCTGCACGGCGTGAGCTCGTGCTCCTCGTCGAAGACTCCTGGGCCGCTTTGCCGGACACCCGCGCCCTCTGGGATTCGTTCGCCTCGGACTACAGAGAGCAAGGCGAGGGGCGGGCGCGTCCTGGCGATGTTCGATTCCTCAACTCAAATGGGCCCCTGGTGACCCGTGTCAGGAGGATGCACCAAACAGGTGTTGAACTTAGGGCGGCCTGGAACAGATATTTCTTTCTGCGTGGCGGTGGCACCCGCGGCCCCTAGCCGGCGCGACGCCACTTTCCTCCGCTGCTTCCTCCGCCGCGCTTCGTCACCCCTGTGCTGCCGATTGCACGATGCAGCACCGCACCTTCCTGCGCCGAGTTGGTGCCCCGACCTGCCCCACCCTGTCCACCCGGGCATGGGGGCCGCCGGCTTCAGCCGTAGTTTGGACTGGCCACGGAGCGCCGCTTGCCGCCCGCCCTAGCGGCGAGCGGCCGCCCTGGCTCTCCCCTCGGCCCGCCCTGTTCACCCGGGCAGTGGGGGCTGCCCTCCTCCTTCCGCGCGCCGCCACGGCGCCTGGGCTGCTGCCTACAGCCGCCTCGGGTTCGGGATCCTGGGCTTGGTCTTGCCGCCGGTTCCCCCACGTTGACCCAGCATTTTGCAGGATGCGGTCCAACTTGGATGCTCTTTTACTTCCCGCAACTTGTCCTGCGCCCCCAGTTGGGCGGTGCGCGGCCCGTCGGCCCTGCGCCTCGTGCTCTGCGTCGGCGACCCGCGTTTCGTATACTTGCAGTGCGTTGGGCCCCGCTTCAGCAGGTGCGCCTGCGCAGCAGCCGCCTCGGTCCCCGCCGGTGGGGCTGGCCGTGCCAGCCCGCTCAGGGATGTGATCCGTCCCCCTGTGTGGCCCTCGCCTTGCCTCCCCCGTCTGCGGCCGCCCACTCTGTCCCGTTTCTCCTCTCCTGCATGTGGGCCAGTTCTTTCTCTGCAGTGGTGACCCCGTTCAGTTAGATCTTTCCGCCAGCGCAGACGACCCATGCCTAGCCGCCGACGCTACCAGTTTCTGGAGCTGCGCTAAATGCGCGTGGCAAGTCAGGAAGATATACCCCCAAAGGAGTATGATCGAACACGAAAGCGGCGGGCCTCTGGCTGCCGTCTTGGACGATCCGGGCACTCCAGGAGCGCTTTCGGCGAGGTGAGAACCGCCCGAGAGCCTGCGGTGTCATCGTGCTCCTTTTCACTCGGACTCTGAGCATCTCAATCCTCGATGTTGTCCCCCTTCCCTGACCCCATTCCTCAGGAACTGCCAGTTCTGGGGCCCTTGTGGGGCCCCCGAAAAACAGAGAATGGCCGGAAACTGTCCACCTTGATTTTTTTCGAGACGCGAGGATGTGAGGGCTCCTTGGGATCTCAGCTGTTCCCGTTTCGGGCGCGCGGCCCAGGACGCGCCAGGCCGGGCAGGGGATGAGCTGGCTGCGGAGCGGCGAGGCCAGCGCGGGCGGGGTCGTCGTCGGCGCCTCCATCTCGTCGCCAATTGATCAATCGAGGATCGATCGGTGGTGTTCTGCCCTCGATCGATCGATCTAGGTCGGCGCCGATCGATGGACCGAGGATCGACGGATTGATCGCCGAACGATGGATGGTTCTTCGATTTCGGTTCCCAGGTGCAGTTTTCAGGATCCTGTCTGTGCAGTACCAGAAGATGATCCGGGACGGCAGATTGCCCCTCTGCAATCGGTCAAGACTTCGGGGCGCGCCCTCTTCGTCGTCGTCGTCGCCGCCGTCGTCGTCGTCATCGTCGCCGTCGTCGTTGTCGTCGTCGTCGTCGTCGTTGTCGTCGTCGCTGTCGTCGTCGTCATCGCTGTCGTCGTCGTCGCCGTCATCGTCGTCGTCGTCATCATCCTCGTCGTCGTCGTCGTCGTCGTCGTAGCCATGGCGGTCAATAGCAGCTTCAGCATCAAAGAAAGGGACCCTTGAGATTTGTTCACAGACTTCGGGCTCCTAGGCCTTCTCTTTCAGGACCCTGTTCTTTCGTTCGAGTTGAAGTTGAAGGATCTAGGTTCGATGATGTTTTTTATTGATGTTTTTTGGTTGGATCTCTGGGTTCATCTGGAGGCTTTCTGGGATCATACAAGCCTTTGGGTTTGGAGGAATTGTAATCACCACTCTCGTGGACGTTACTTGGATTTTTAGATCGGCGTCGCGCGGGGCAGAAAAGGCCGGGCGTTCGATAGGTGGCGCGCGGTCACATGCTTGGCATTCGGGTCATAATTATCTGTTTGCTGATGTCCGCCGAGATACATCTTCACGACGATGACCGTGATCGCCATGATTGCCATGACGATGATTCTGTTTATGTTAATGATTACCGTTCTGATGATGGTGATGACGATGATGACATTGATGCTGATTCTGATGCTGCTGCTGCTGATGATGATGCTGATGACGATGATGATTCAGATGATGTCAATGATCATGATGCTGCTGATGATGATGGCGGTAATGATGATGCTGATGATGATAATGATGGTGAGGGTGATGATTTCGATGGTGATGTTTATGATGATGATACCGATGATGATGCTGATGATGATGCTGCTGATGATGATGGTGATGCTGGTGATGATTATGATGATGATGATGATGATGATGATGATGACGATGATGATGACCGCGACGATGATGATGATGACAGTGATGATGATGAGGATGATGATGATGACGCTGATACTGATGATGATGCTGCTGATGATGATGAGGATGAGGATGAGGATGAGGATGCTGATAATGATGATGCTGATGCTGATGCTGATGCTGATGCGGATGATGATGATGATGATGATGATGATGATGATGATGATGATGATGATGATGATGATGATGATGATGATGATGATGATGATGATGATTCCCCCCGTCGCCCCTATATCCCTAACAACGACTCGCAGCAGGGGTTGGATGGGACCTGTTCGTGCCCAGGAGTATCATTCGTATTATTCCTTAACCAGGCTTGCCTGAGGGTTCATATTTGGTTTTGGAACATCGGTGGTCTCCTTCTTGTTTTTGAAGAGGGCTTGCTCGGGCTCCTTTGTCGTGTTTGTTTGCTGTTCTTGAAGAGGCCTTGCACAGATTCCTTGGTCTTGTCGCTTTCCGGTTTTTGGAGAAGCCCTGCCCGGGTTCCTTGGTCTTGTGTCCCTGCCGTCTTTGAATAGGCTTCCCCCGGGTTCCTCGGTCTTGCTTCCTAGCGATGCCGATCAGGGCCAAGCAATGCCAAGCAGCACCAGAACCAGCACCACGTATTGCCAAGCAAGGCCAAGTAATGCGAAGCAGCGCCAAGCAACGCCAAGCAACGCCAAGTAACGCCAAGCAGCGCCAAGCAACGCTAAGTCACGCCAAGCAAGGCCAAGCAAGGCCAAGTAACGTCAAGCAACGCCAAATGACGCCAAGCAGCGCCAAGCAATGCCAAGCAACGCCAAGCAATGCCAAGCAATGCCAAACAATGCCAAGCAATGCCAAACAATGCCAAGCAACGCCAAACAACGCCAAGTAGCGCGAAGCGACTCCAAGCAACGCCAAGCAGCGCGAAGCGACTCCAAGTAACGCCAAGCAGTGACAAGCACTGTCAAGCAATGCCAAGCAATGCAAAGCTATGCCAAGCAATGCAGTTCAATCTCAAACAAAACAATGGCAAGCAGAGCAAAGCAAATCAATGTCAAGCAACGCAACGCAATGCAATGCAATGCCAACAAATGCCAAGCATCGCCAATTAGTGCCAAGCAATGCCAAACAACGCTAAATGATACCAAGCATCGCCAAGCAATGTAAGGTAATACCAGGCAACGCCAAGCAATGCCAAGCAAAGCAGCGCCAAACATTGCCAAGCAACGCCAAGCACTGCAAAGCAATGCCAAGCAATGCCAAGCTATGCGAAGCACTGCAATTCAAAGCAAAGCAAAGCAAAGCAATGGCAAGCAACACAATGCAACGTCAAGCAACGCCAGGCAATGCCAGGCAATGCCAATGCAATGCACAGCACTGCCAGGTAATGCCAATCAGTTCAATCTATTGCAAATCAACGTTAAGCAACGCAAAGCAATGCAACGCTGTGCCTTTCTTGCTTCATTACTTTCCTAGGAAGCTTTCCCTTACTTTCGGTCGCGCCCGGTTCATATTGCTAGACCAGGACAAACCAAGGCCCGTCCATACAAAATATGGTAGGATTAAGTCCCGCCCACCTGTCAAGTCCCGTCCCGCGGCCGATCAAGTCCTGGAAGTGCGCCAGGCCGACTCGTGGTTTCGAAAGAACCCTTGCTTCCTCCGGGCCTGTGGGAGGCTTCTCGTGCCACGGCCGGATCTGCCTCGAAGTTCTGGCCAGAACATCCCAGGAGAGCTCTGGGGGCCACCGTTGGCGGGCGACAGGTAGGATCGGCTCGAGATCCACCACCTCCACCTGGGCCAGGGAGCCGATGGATGGCCTGCTGACGCCGCGCTTCGAGTGGCTGCTGGGCACGTGCGGCGGCTGCGCGGTGGACCAGCTCGACCGGCGCACCCGAGGACAGAATCTGGAGGTCCAGCAGCAGCAGGTGCAGCTCAGCACGGACTTGTCGCACAGCCAGCGCCCGAAGCCGCATCTGCCGCTGACGCAGGGGGACTCCCTCGACATCACCTTCACGCCCCGCTACCTGCTGGGCGACCTCGCGGAGAGCGCGAGGTCGAGGACGGTGACCCCGCGACAGCAAGACATCCATGAGCAGTTGGAGCTGCCCTCGCTGCACACCTACCCGACGCCGCCCACGTGCAGCGCCGAGGAGTGCGCGGAGGAGAGGCAGCGGAAGCTGCTCGAGATGTACAGGGAGTTCGCCATGGAACTGCACTCGGGCATGTACCTCACACAGCTCACGTCCACGCGGGACTACTCGGACATCCACTGCCAGCTCGCGGACGACATGAACACACTGAAGCTCGACCAGAGCACTGGCAGGATCGTCGAGTTTCCGCTGACGAACGTGTCCAAGGTCTACAGGATAATCAAGAGCGACGACAAGTGGTACACTGCTGGCGCGCCTCCACCAGGTCCTGCCCCTGAGGGCTCGGAGCACGTCGTGGTTGTAGAGTTCATGAAGCGGAAGCTGGCCTTCGTCTTCACGGAGCTGACGGTGGCGCAGCGCTTCCTGATCTGCATGGAGCTCCTGATTCGCAGGGCGCAGCAGACGCAGGTGAAGAAGGCTGTGCGCTCGCTCGCGCCTGCGTTCAGGGGGCAGCAGGCGAGCGCGGGCGTGCCCGCTGCGGATCCCAAGCCTCTGGTGAAGGGCTCTGGGCCGCCCCCGCCCCCGGCGACTCCCCCGTGGCTGCAGCAGGTTCAGCTTCAGCAGCAGCAGCAGCAGCAGCTGCAGCAGCAGTCGGGGTTGGGGTTCGGCGGTCCGAGGAGATGATGGGCCAGAGCTCCGCGGTCGCCAGGCCGAGGGCGGAGGAGCACGGCAGGGACGCCGCACTGCTGCAGCCGTTGCCTCGCTTCCGCCGTCGCCTTGCTGCAGCCGTAGCTGCACTGCAGCTGCTGCACTTGCTGCAGCAGCAGCCCCTGCGGGTGGGCCCAACGAGTGCGGTCGCGCTGGCCGAGGCGGGCGCGGCGCCCCCCGCGACCGCCTGGCGGCCGCGGGCGGCCGCGGGCGGCGCGGACGCCGGGGCGGCCGCGGCCCCGCTTCAATGTGGCGCGAGACGCGCCGGGGCTGACGCAGAGGGCGCCAGTGAGCGGGGGCCGCGGTGGTCTGGCACTGGGCGCGCGGGCTTCTTGGAAGCCCCCCATGCGCACCGTCCTCGTGCCCGCGTCTCTGCTCGCCCCCGTCATCGTCGTCGTCGTCCTCCTCCTCCTCCTCCTCCTCCTCTTGTTCCGCCTCGTAATAGATAAGATAATCTGGAATTTGGCAAGCGAGCTTCTGCGCAGCCTGGGCTGTGAAGACAGAACAGGGGAGCTTCGCTCTTGAGTTGTTGTGATAGCCAGGACACTCCGCCTCCAGAGGGCGCATCATCATGACCATCACCATCACCATCACCATCATCACCATCATCGTCATCACCATCATCATCACCATCATCATCACCATCATTTTAACCACCATCATCATAAACATCACCGCCATCTTCATCACCACCATCATCATCATTATCACCACGACCATCTTAATGACCACCATTATCATCATCGCCATCACCATCACCATCACCATCATCAGCATCATCATCATCATCACCGCTGTCATCACCATCATCAACATCACCATCATAATCATCATCACACCACCAGCAGCATCGCCATCATCACCCTCATTCTCATCCTCATCTTTATTACCGTTACCATCACCATCGTCAGCATCATCATCAACACCATCAGCATCAGCATCAGCATGAGCATCATCACCATCATCAGCATCACCATCATCACCACCCTCATCATGATGATCATCATCATCACCATCATCATCATCATCGCCATCAACATCATCATCAGCATCATCATCATTGCCATCGTCATCACCATCACCACCACCATCAGCATCACCATCACCATCATCATTGTCATCATCATAATCATCATCATCGTCATCATCATCATCGCCATCATCGTCATCGTCATCGTCATCGTCATCAACATCACCATCAACATCATCATCAGCATCATCATCATTGCCATCGCCATCACCATCACCATCACCATCACCATCATCATCACCATCATCACCATCATCACCATCATGACCATCATCATCATCCTCCTCCTCCTCCTCCTCCTCATCATCATCATCATCATCATCATTATCCCTCCGCTCCACATTATCGGCGAACGCTCTGTGGCGCGCAGCGGGCGGTCTCACGCATCCTCCTCTGCACGGGCCCAGGTCAAGCGGATAGCCGTGTGAAGTCGCCCTCGTTCTCCTCCTCATCAAATCATGGACGGTGAACACCGATTTGGAGCAATGATTTCAGTGATGCGATAATAACTTGTACCCCTCCTCTTCTTCTTCCTCCTCCTCCTCCTCCTCCTCCTCCCCCTCCTCCTTCTCCTCCTCCTCCTCCTCCTAATCCTCCTCCCCCTCCTCCCCCTCCCCCCTCCTGCTCCTCCTGCTCCTCCTGCTCCTCCTCCTCCTCCTCCTCCTCCCTCTCCTGCTCCTCTCCTCCTCCTCCTTTTCCTCCTTCCTCCATCCTCCTACACCTCCTCCTCCCTCTCCTCCCTCTTTTCTTCCTGTAAGGCGCATGCCCAGGCCCCACGTTCCACCATGTGAGTCTTGCAGGGTGCCCAGTGCGCCTTCCTTCCGAATTGCAGACGTAGGGGAGACATGCTTTCAGTCTGTTTCGTGTCGCACTACGCGGGGGCGGTTTGTTGTTGGACATGCGGGTGTCTCGGGCACACGACCACCGCTGGAGATAGTTTGGGCGCTGGACTCGTCAAGCTTTGCGCCCCGACCCCATGGGCAAAGGTGCCCTTGACAAAATCCTGGCCAAGAGTGGAATGGCCGCGTGGCCCGACGGCCCCCCCCAGCGCCCAGAGGCAGAAAGGGCGGTGCCAGTATCGCTAGGGGCAGCATTCTGTTCTGAGCGGCTGCAATTCCTGGCTCTTGATCCTCCGCGGGCGGTATAGAACTTTCCATCCCAGAGATGACCCAGCAGTGCCGCGGCGCGGTCGAGGGGCGCGCTGCCTGCGCGCGGCGCTCGAACGCGCTTTGCCGCGCACCGCCAGATCGCTGCCAGCTTCAGCCAGACGGCGTAGCCCTGGAGGACCCTTTCAGAGGAGCGCCCATGACGCGCCGCCAGATAGTACCCACATGGTCATTGCCGTTTGTTCTTGCTGTGGAGGGGCGCCGCTGAAGGCCTCCAGGCAGGCCCTCGTATGGTCGAGCTCATCGATCACTTCTGCTGTCGAGGGGCGTCTCAGTGCCCCCGCTGGATGGGAGGGGTGGAGGCAGGATGGAGGGAGGGAGGGAGGAAGGCTGGTCGCAGCAGTCTGGGCGGGGCGTCCGTCTGGGCGCGCGGGCTACCAGCGCCCGCCACGCCCACCTCGTGAGGCGGGAGGTGCCGCTTGTGCGATCAGCGGTGAAGAGACAACCCTCCCCGTTGGCGCGGTCTGCAGGGACCCCGGCTGGAAGGCAAGCACAGGAAATGGCGAGAAGGGCGAGGCTCGCCTCTTCCGCACACCTGATACGGCGCCCAAGCAGTGACGGCGCCATCTTTGGGCGGCGGCCCAGAGAGGGCAGCGGACCAGGAACCAACAGTTCGCGAAACCCACGCGGAGGTAGGGGAGCTAGCACTGGTGAGCCGCGCGTTAATCAGCAAAGGAGAGCCTGGAGGTTGTCCTGGAAGGGCGCCCCGAGGGAAGCGGTAGGGAGCAAGGCCTGCTGGGGACCGTTCCAGGCAGCTTACGCTCGGTGGGACCTGTCAAACATAGGGGCTGACTGTTCCCAGATGTGCTGCAGAGATTGGGCGAAGTGGTTGGCCCGCTGATACAGCGCGTGGGTGCTAGCAGTGAGGCCGTTTGTGCCGTTTGTGCCGTTTGTGCTTGGGCCGGCATGATAAGTGGGGCCTTCTGGGACATGAGGGCCTGTAGGTCCGTGTTGAGACTGGTCTTCTTCAGTGGCACAGGGGAGAGGCCTTGCTCAAGCTGGTGGCATTGCTGGGCCAGGGTGGCTTGGCTAGTGGCCGCGCTTGTCACTGTGGTTTCAATGCGCCTGACCGTGTCGGCCAGCTGCTGTTGATCAGCTTCCAGGCCCCGGAGCCTCGCGTCTGAGATCCCCGGGACACTTGGCCTTGGGGCCACTCTTCTCCGGAGTCTTCCTCGAAGCCTGGTGGCTCGGATCGTCCTTTGGGCGAGTTTAGTGGGGTGTTGGTGCCCTCGTATTTTACGTGTTGCTCCGCCATGTCGCAGTCCTCGTCCTCGCGCAGGGCCAGAGGTGCCTGTTCTGGGCTGACCTTCGGCTCGCCTGTTGTAGGTTCCGTGGCCTACGGGGCTGTGCTATGTGCTAGGGCGCTGGTTTGTCTTCCTGGCGTTGTTGTCGCGCTGTTTCTTGCCGGGCGGCGGGGCCCTCGGGGGGGGGGGGGGCGGCCGCGTTCTGGTGGTTTGGCGGTGGCGTCAGCAGGGCTTGCGGCTTGCAGATATGGCCTGGTGGCCGCTCTGTCATGGAGCGATGGCGGGGCGTGGCCGCCTGGTCCACGTGGTGTCCCTGCCGAGGACCCAATCCGCAGCGATGGTCTCTGGTGTGATGATCGTTTCGGTCAGTGGGCGGCTCGATCTTGACGATTGTCCAGGGGATGTTGGATCCATGGGCGTGGTGACAGAATCACCTCGGGTGGTTTCGTGCCATCCTGCGTGTTGCACTTCGCAGTGCCATTCAATGGATGTGAGGATCTTGACGCGTTGTATCCTCGTGGCGCTCTGTGGCTCGATGCCCGTAATGTGGCAGCTGGTGTTGGCGAGTGCGGTATCGGTGCCTCTGAGTTCGAGCGCGACCTGCTTTGCCTCGCTGGTGTCAGATTTGACGCGGATGCCCACTCTTTTGTCCGCGCTGATGGCGTCGTAGGCGTTGTGCCTTGGTGAGGTCGCGTGTGCTTCCTGGCGTGCATTTTGGTGGCATTTGGGTACCATGCCGTGGTGTAATCACTGGGCGGCGGCCCTCTGGTGCCGTGGTAGCCGACGTCGAACCGGATGCCACCCTGGCCAGACGTGGACAGGGCCATGGGTTTTTCCGCTGGTTTGATTCCAAAGGTGGCCGTCAGTCTGCGTTTGCCCGCGCCCGTTCCGTGTCGCCCCAGGAGCTTCATGGGCTCATGGATTTGGACGGTGCGGAAATCAGAGGTCAGGATTGCTGTGGGGGCTTCTGCGAGGTCGTGATCCCGTTGTTGCCGCGCGTTGTCGTGCCTGGCTGCCCTGTTGTGCTCTGTGGTCTTCTACTGTGCCTGTGCCTGTGCCGCCTGTTCTGCGGGTGCCATTGGTGGGGGCGGCGCCAGCTAGCTTGGCGGTGCGTGGCCGCGATAGGGTCGGCTTCGCATATGTCGCCGCAGATCCAAACGACGCCGTCAGCTGGGTCGAAGGTGAAGTGTACGACGTTTTGGGGTTAGTTGACCTCTGCGCGGCCCAGCGGGCAGACGGACCCGTTATGCGTCCTGGCGTAGGTTTGGTAGCTTTTTGGCCGTCCGTCGGGGGGCAGGGGTTAGGGCTTCTTGCCGTGGGTAATCAGCGTTGATCAGTTCCAGGGCGGCTAGCGCGAGGGGTTTGCCTTGCCGACGGATCTGTTGCAGGAGGCGGTTATCTTCTTCTAGCGAGTGGAGTGGGATGCTACTGGTGTATGATGTCCCGTCATCCGCCTTGTTGGGGGCGAGGGCGACAGGGGCATCCAATTTTTGTGCATCCAGGCTGATGGGTGGGGCGGTGGTGTTGCCCTGGTGGGCGTCGGCGGAAGCCGCGGACCTCGGTGAGTCGCGGCTGTAAGCCGCGGACCCTGGTGTAGCTGTTTTTTTTTGTTCCCCGCACAATTTCATCAGTTCTCCCCTGAGTTTTCGCTGGTCCGAACGGTGTTTTTGGTAAATGGTGTCAAGATCGATTTGATATTTGTGAGCCAGTTCGTTGTGTGCAGCGGCTGCTCGGTCGACGCCACCACTGTTCTGGAATGCTGCGGCGCAGGCTTCCGTTCGCCTGCAGTTGGGGTCCTGTCGGTCCGTTAAGGTTGCCTCTGGTTGGCCCTTGCCTGGTGGCTTGGGCTGCGGTGGTGCAGAGGGCGCATGGCGTGGCCCTTTCCGAACCATGACGCGCGCACGGAAAGAAGGGTATGTGACATGTATCGGTCCCGTGTGATTGATACGGTTGCAGTCTCACCGGGTTGGAGGGTGCTGAAGGCTACGTGTCTTGGCTGCACTCTGACCGTCCAGCGATATCGAGCCGAGCTTGGGGGATTATGTGGAAAGGCGGGCGAGGGAGAGGGAGGGAAGTTAGAGGGAACGGAACGAAGGTGTAGGGGAAGGGGGGGAGGGATGGGGGAGAGGCAGGGGGGGTGAGGGCGGAAGGGGAACGAGGGAGGGAGGGCCCCTGAGTGGCACAGACGCTGCCAGTGGTGCTTGCCTCTCCCCCCAGCTTCGGCAGGCCCGCATCCAGGGATGCCGCCACACGCTCCGCCGCCGCCGCCGCCGACCCTGGAGCCCGCGGGTGCCGTCGGGGCCGCCGCGCAGGCCACGGACGGGGTCCATCCGCTCGCCGTCATCGCCGCCGTCGTTCTCGCCGTTGTCGCCGTCGTCGTCGTCGTCGTCGTCGTCGTCGTCGTCGTCGTCGTCGTCGTCCTGCTGCGGCTGCTGCTGCTGCTCCTCCTCCTCCTCCTCCCCTCCATCCCCGCCCAAGGTGGGATGATGATTGGATGAGGACCTCAGGCCGACTTGGGCTCTGCACTCCCCAAACATCGACTAAGTTTTTCAGTCTCTTCGCTCCCCCCCGAACGGGCACCTTCTCCTCTTCCTTCCCCTCCTCCTCCTCCTCCTCCTCCTCCTCCTCCTCCTCTTCATCGTCCTCCTCCAGGAAGAAGAAGGAGGCGGCGGAGCAAGAGGAGGGGGCAGTAGCGAGGATGGAACAACTGGAGGAGGATAAGGAGGATGGAGGGAGAGAGGAAGGAAGGGAAAAGGGAAGGGGAAGGGAGGATGAAGGAGGGAGGGTGGGAGCGAGTGGGAAGGATGAAGTCGAGGATGAGGAGGATGGAGGAGGGGGTTGAGGGGAATGTTTGGGAGTTTGTTTTTGGACTGCTAGGTGGCTCTGGGGGGCGTTGTCCTCCTCAGCTTCCCTCGCAACAGTGAGGCAATGAAGGCGCAGACTCGGATGTCCAGATACCTCGGGTGGCGCTTGTGCTTTTTTCAGGCCTCCCTTGGGGCATTCTGGCGCGGTTTACCACTTACGCCCAAGATCGCCAAGCATATCGCCCAGGGAGGTGGGAGGAGGAGAAGGAGGAGGAGGAGGAGGATGATGATGATCAGGAGGAGGAGGAGGATGAAGAGGAGGAGGAGGAGGAGGAGGAGGAGGAGGAGGAGGAGGAGGAGGAGGAGGAGGAGGAGCAGGGGGAAGGAACCAGAAGGTGGAGGAGACGGACGCGCGGCGGAGGGGCCAGGCGTGGCCAGGGTTCCTTGTTGTCGCCGCAGCGGGACACGGCTTGGAAAGCGGATCAGGACGGAGCTCGGTGACATTGCGTGTTCGTTGGACATGCGGGGCATCTTGTTGTCGTGAGCAAGCTCGCACCGTTTTTTTGTGCCCGTTTCGTGTCCCAGAACCTTCACATTTCGATATGGTTTCACACGTGCACACAGAGTGTGTGTGTGTGTGTGTGTGTGTGATTTTCGTGAATTCTAGACGCTTCGCGTAACCCCACCAGCGCACGTGCTGGTCACCCACCTGCTTCCGCACCTCCACCTGTGTGGTCTGACGCCGCAGCGCGTAACACCGAATTCCCTGGCATTTTGCTCTGGGCTGCACGGTGCTCGAGCTTCCCTGGGTGCCAGATCAGCCAGCCAGCGCCCGCCCTGCTGCCCCAGCGGCCGCCTTGTGAGCTGGCCCGGCCGGTTTGAGTCGCGCTTAGCAGCTAATTAGGTTGCCCGTCGGCCCGGACAACTTCTCTCGCCGCCTGCGCGCTCGCTGGTGGCCGCGACCAAAAAAAGGTCACCCGACCAGCCTCCGCCCCCCCTGACTTAAGCCGTCTTCCGGGGGGGGGCCTCCTCCCCCTGGGGTTAGGGCTCGAGGTTGGCCGGGGCGGCCTGGGGGCCGCTGTCTCCCCCTTGGTTCGGCCTGCCTGAGGGGCGCTGGAAGGGGTTTCCTCTTCCAGGCGCCCCTCCCCGTCTCCTGGCGTGCCGCGGGCGGCGCTGCGCCGCGCTCAGCGCCAGGCGGCGGCCGCGCGGCTCGCCGCCGCCCTGGTTGCCGCCGGCGGCGGCCCCTCTGGCTTGGCTGCGGCGGCCGGCGCCGCCGGCGCTGCGCGTGCGGCCGGTGCCTCCAGCGCTGCCGCCGCCGCGGCCTCCGCCGCGTGCGCCGCCGCCGCGGCCGCTGACGCCGCCGCCGCCGCCGCGGCCGCGGCCAAGGCGGCCTCTGCGGCCGCCCCGGCCGCTGGCGCCGCCTGCGCTGTGGGGGCCGGGCGCGCCGCTGGTGCCGCCGGCACGGCTGCCCCCCTGGCCGCCGCCGCGCGGCGCCCGCCGCGGCCCCCCTCTGAGGTCGCCGCCGGGGCCCCCTCTGAGGGGCGCCGCCGGGCCCCCTCTGAGGGCGCCGCGGCCGCCGCCCGCCGCCGAGAGCCTTCGCTGCGGGCCGCGGCTGCCTCGCCGCGGCCGCCGCCGCGGTGGCGCGCGCTGCGGCGCTGTCGCCTGCCGCCGCCGCCGCGGCTGGCGTGGCGGCTGCCGCCGCGGCCGCCGCGGCGGGCCACCACGGTCAGCCTGACGGCCAGCCCGTCGGCCAGCCCCGTGGCCAGCTCATCTGCCAGCCCCACGGCCTGCCCCACGGCCAGCCCCTCGGCCAGCCCGACGCGGCGACGGCGGCGGCCGGCGGCGCCGTGGCCAGCCCCACGGCCGCTGTCGCGGCTGCCGCTGCTGCTGCCGCTGCCGCGGCCGCTGCTGGCTCATCGCTGGCGGCGGCGGCGGCGGAGGGCGCGGTGGCTGGCGCCGCCGCGGCGGAGCGCGGCCAGCCCAACGGCCAGCCCCGCGGCCAGCCTGGCGGCCCGCCCCCCGGCCAGCCCGACTGCCAGCCCCCCGGCCTGCCCCGCGGCCAGCCACACGGCCCGCCTGACGGCCAGTCCGTCGGCCAGCCCGACTGCCAGCCCGATTGCCAGCCCCGCAGCCAGCCCGACTGCCAGCCCCACGGCCAGCCCGACGGCCAGCCTAACGGCCAGCCCCACGGCCAGCCTGGCGGCCAGCCCCCCAGCCAGCCCGGCTGCCAGCCCCACGGCCCGCCCGACGGCCAGCCCCACGGCCTGCCTGACGGCCAGCCCGTTGGCCTGTCCCGTGGCCAGCCCGACTGCCAGCCCCACGCCCGGCCCCGCGGCCAACCCGACTGCCAGCCCCACGGCCAGCCCGACGGCCAGCCCGACTGCCAGCCCCACGGCCAGCACGGCCAGCCCCGCGGCCAGCCAGACGGCCAGCCCGACGGCCAGCCCCGTGGCCAGCCCGACTGCCAGCCCCGCGGCCCGCCCCACGGCCAGACCTACGGCCAGCCCGACGACCAGCCCCACGGCCAGCCCTACGGCCAACCCGACTGCCAGCCCCACGGCCAGCTTGACGGCCAGCCCGACTGCCAGCCCTGCGGCCGGTCCCACGGCCAGCCCGACTTCCAGCCCCGCGGTCAGCCCCACGGCCAGCCCCACGACCAGCCCCGGCCAGTCCCACGGCCAGCCCGACTGCCAGCCCCACGGCCAGTCCGACGGCCAGCCCCACGGCCAGCCCGACCGACGGCCCCACGGCCAGCCCGACTGTCAGTCCCACGGCCTGCCACACGGCCAGTCCCACGGCCTGTCCCACGGCCAGCCCCGCGGCCAGCCCGGCGGCCCGCCCCGCGGCCAGCCCGACTGCCAGCCCCCCGGCCTGCCCCGCGGCCAGCCCCACGGCCAGCCCCACGGCTGGCCACACGGCCAGCCCCACGACCAGCCTGACCGCCAGCTCCATGGCCAGCCCCACGGCCATCAGTCTGACGGCCAGCCCCACCGCCAGCCCGACTGCCAGCCCCACGACCATCCCTACAGCCAGCCCCACGGCTGGTCCCACGGCCAGCCCGACCGCGAGCCCCACGGCTAGCCCGATTGCCAGCTCCGCGACCAGTCCGACGGCCAGCCCAGCCCGACTGCCAGCCCGACGGCCAGCCCGACGGCCAGCCCGACACCCAGCCCCACGGCCAGGTCCATGGCCAGCCCCACGGCCTGCCCCACGACCAGTCGGACGCCTCACCCCCGTTCCCGACGCCCTACCTGACGCCCTACCCGACGCTCTACCTGAGGCCTTGCCTGACGCCCAGTCCCACGGGCAGCCCCACGGCCAGTCCGACGGCCAACCCGACGGCCAACCCGACAGTGAAGCCACCCTCCTGATGGCACCGAGAGGTCCCACCGCGCCCACGTGTCCTCCTTCCCCAGACGAGCAGGACAGCGAAGCCATCCTTCAGCTGGTTTCGAGGAACCCTTTCGCCCCGATTCGTTTTCCTTCCCTTGCCAGCGACCCGATACGGGCGGGCGCTTCTTCAAGCAGCCACGGGGCAGCTCCTGCATTCCCGCAAAGCGTGCCAGACCCCCTCTTTCTGGTGAGGGTGTGAGATCGACCGCCGAGGTGGGCCGGCAGCTCGACCGAGGCGCATCCGTGGCGCGTCGGATGGGAAGTGGGTGGACGCCCAGGCTGTTCGCCGATCGCCAGCAGCCAGGACCACGGGACTCCAACACTGGAAGGCCGCTCTATAAAGCCCAGGTCCACGACTCCCAGTGGGAACCCCACGGGGAGCCACCAAACGAGACGACCAGGCACCTTCAGGTCACCCTGGGTGCGTCGTTCACAGCCGTCTGGCACGCCTTTGCCGAGCAACACGCTGCCCCTGGGACCGCGCGCGCTTTCGACCCGCGTCGGCACGACCAGCGAACCTGCGTCGCCTTGCTGACCTCATTTCGCAGCCACAGCTGCGATGCCCGGGTCATGAGCGACTCACTGGGCCTGGGAGTCGAGTCGACTAGGCGCAGGTGCGTGGGCAACACCTGGGACACCACGTCGGCGCGAACAGGGGGCGCCAGGCACCGCCGCGAGATGGTCGGGATCTCGTGGGCGCCGACAGTGGCCGGACGTTGTAGGGTGGGATTGCTCTCAGGCGAGGTCGGGCCCTTGACGTCGAAGACGCGGCCGTTTGCCTCCACCCCCGTGACGACGGCGTCGGCGAGCCGTCCCCCCATCGTGCGACTGTCAGTTGCCTCTCGCCTCGCCCGCCCCATCGGGGTTGCTCCCTTGCCACCGCGGGTCCATCACCCCCTCCTGCCACTCTCCTCTGCACCTCCGGTGCCCTTTCCACGCTCCATTCCGCGGCCGCCCGCCGCTCCCCCCCAGCCGCCCCCCGCCCGCCTCTTGGTCCCCGTCCCCACGGTTACGTTGCTCCACTTCGCGGCGATCTGGCGCTTTGCCCCCATCCGCCCCCCGCCCGCCCCCTGGCCCCCGTCCTCCACGCCCGCCCCCTGCGTGTCTCCAGCGCTGTGCGACCGTCAGTCGCTCCAATGGCTTGCTCGAGCGTGACCGGCAGCACAACTGCATCGTCCACCGCCGGGACGTCCCGTGCATCGTCGTCTTGCAGTACACCGCGGACGACCAACAGAGCGACCGCGAGCAGCATGGTCACGACCAGTACAGCCCCGTGTCCGCAGTACGAGCGGCCCCAGCAGCACGACGGCCAGCTCGAACGTGACCAGCATCACAACGGCAGCGCCCACCACCCTGGTTCCCCTGCATCGTTGTCTGCAGCACGCCTCATACGACCAGCAGCGCGACCCGTGCAGCAGGGTCGCGACCAGCACGGCCATGTGCAGTGCGACGTTCTCGGCCCTCCTCGGTGGGCTCCACGACGACAGTGAGCAGCGCCGTGAGCGTGGACGCGGCGAGCAGCGTGCGTCGAGCAGTACGATTTCAAGTGCGACACAGTCGAGCAACACCACGCCGGCCAGCACTACGGAGGCTGTGGCACGACAGTGACGGCTTCGACAGAGTCATTCACTACCGCGCTGCCTGGGACGAGGTTGTCTACGGCGAGTGCGAGCGGCTCCAACGGCGCGACGGCCAGCCCGAGCGTGACCCGCCGCGCAACTACATTGTCCACCACCTCGACTTCCAGTGCATCGTTGTCTTGCAGTACGTTTCAGACGATCGCCAGTGCGTCCTTGAGCACCACGGTCACGGCCAGTACGGTTTCGAGCTATGCGACCGACGGTGGGCTCCACGACGACAGTGAGCAGCAGCTTGGACGAGGTCGAAACGTGCAGCACCATGTCGAGCAGTGCGTTTTCGAGCGCGACACTATCGAGCAGCCCCACGGCGGCCAGCACTACGATGAGTAGCGGCACGACGCTGACAGATACGACCAGGTCATTCAGACTACGCTGACCGAGACGAGCTCCTCGGCTAGTCTTAGCAGTACCAGCGGCACGACGGCCAGCTCAAGCGTGACCAGCAGCACATCGAGCAGCACGGTCACGACCCGTACGGCCTCGAGCATGGACGTCCACAATCACTTCCACGGCGGGCTCCACGTCGGCACGCAGCAGCAGCGTGAGCGGAGTCGAGACGAGCAGCGCAACGTCGAGCAGTACGGGTTCGAGTGCTACACAGTCGAGCAGCACCACGCCGGCCAGTACTACGGTGTACAGCGGCACGACGCTGACGGAAACGACAGGGTCATTCAATCCCACGCTGAGCGGACGCGCTCCACTATGGCCAGTACGAGCGGCACCAGCAGCACGGCGGCGAGCTCGAGCGCATCCAGCAACACAACTGCACTGCCCGCAGCTTGACCTCCAGTGCATCGTTGTTTGGCAGTGCGTATCACATGACCAGCAGAGCGACCTCGAGCTGCACGGTCACGACCAGTACTGTCTCGTCCAGTGGGACGTCCACGGCCACTTCCACGGTGAGGTCCACGTCGCCATCGAGCCACAGCGTGAGCTTGGACGAGGTGGGCATCGCAACGTCGAGCAGTACGACTTCGAGTGCGACACAGTTGAGCAGTGCCGCCCGGCCAGCACCACGGTGAGCAGTAGCACGACGCTGACGGACACGACAAATTCATTCATGCCACGCTAGCCGAGACGAGCCCTCGACGACTAGCACGAGCGGCCCCAAGGGTCGACGGCCCACTCGAGTGTGGCCAGCAGCACAGCTGCATCCTCCACCACCTTGCTTCCAGTGCTTCGTTGTCTAGCAGTATGCTTCAGACGACCAATAGTGCGCGACCTCGGGCAGCACGGTAGCACGGTCACGACCAGTAGGGTTTTGAGCAGTGCGACGCCCGCAGCCACTCCCACAACGACATTGAGCAGCACCTCGTGCGTGGTCGCAACGAGCAGCGCAACGTCGAGCTGCGCGACTTCGTGTGCGACACGGTCGTGCAGCACCACGCTGGCCAGCACCACGGTGAGCAGCGTCATGCCGCTGGCGGACACGACACGGGCATTCAAACCACGCTGCCCGGGACGAGGTCTCTGACGGCCAGTACGAGCGGCTCCAACAGCACGACTGCCTGCTCGGGCGTGACCTACCGTGCAACTGCATTGCCCACCACCGTGGCCTGCAGTGCATCTTGTCTAGCAGGATGTCGCAGGCGATCAGCAGTGCGCTCTCGAGCAGCACGGCCACGTACAGTGCGGTCTCGAGCAGCGCGACGTCCACAGCCACCTCCTCGACGAGATTCACGACGACAAAGAGCAAGAGCGTGTGCGAGGTTGAAACGAGCAGCACAAGTCGAGCAGTGCCTGTTCGAGTGCGACACCATCGAGCAGCACAATGCCGGCCAGCATACGATGAGCAGCGGTACGTCGCTGGCGGGTATGACAAGGTCACGCAACACCACCGACAAGGTCATTCAATACCACGCTGGCCGAGACGAGTTCTCGACGGCTAGTCCGAGCGGCACCAGTGGCACGGCGGCCCGCTCGAGCGTGACCAGCAGCACAACTGCTCGTCCACCACCTCGACTGCCCGTGCATCGCTGTCTCGCAGTACGCCGCAGCTGACCAGCACTGCGACGTCGAGCAGCACGGCCGCGGCCAGTACGACCTCTAGCCCGTGCGTGACCTGCAACACGACTGCGTCGTCCACCATCTCGACTCCCAGTGCACCGTTGTCTCGCAGTACGCCTCAGCTGACCAGCAGTGCGACCTCGAGCAGCACGGTCGCGACCAGTACGATCTCGAGCAGCACGACGTCCACGGCCACTTTCACAACTACATTGAGCAGCCGCGCGAGCGTGGTCACGACGAGCAGCGCAGCTGCGAGCTGCACGACCTCGATTGTGACACTATCGAGCGACACCACGCCGGTCAGCGACTAGGTGAGCCGCGACACGACGTTGACGGACACATTAGGGTCCTTCGATACCACGGTGACCGAGCTGATTAATCCGACGGCTTGTACGAGCGGCACCAGCAGCACGACGGCTAGCTCGAGCGTGACCAGCTGCACAACTGCGTAGGTCACCACCTGGACTTCCAGCGCCCCGTTGTCCAGCAGTACGTCTCAGGTGACCACGGTGCGACCCCAGGCAGCACGGTCGAGACCAGTGCGGTTTCGAGCAGAGTGGCGCCCGCGGCCACTTCCACGGTGGGCTCCACGTCGTTATTAAGCAGCAGCGGGTGCGGTGTCGAGACGAGCTGCGCAACCTCGAGTAGTACGATTACGAGCGCAACACAGTTGTCCTGCACTACGTCGTGCCAGCACTACGGTGGGCAGTGGCACGACGCTGACGGATACGGCAGGGTCTATTAACATGGTGACCGAGGCGCGTTCTCCGACGGCCCGTTCGAGCTGCGCCAGCTGCACGACGGTTAGCTCGAGCCTGGCCAGCAGCACAACTGCAATGTCCGCAGCTTGACTTCCAGTGTTCGTTGTATCACAGTACGTCTCGGAGGACCAACAGAGCGACCTCGAGCAGCATGGTCACGACCAGTACGGTCTCGAACAGTGCAATGTCCACGGCTACCTCCACGGCGAGCTCCACGTCGACATCGTGCTCTAGTATGGGCGTTGTCGAGTCGGACAGCGCAACGTCGAGCAGTACGACTTCGAGTGCGACGCAGTCGAGCAGCCCTGTCCGGCCAGCACACGGTGAGCAGTGGCATGACGGTGACGGTTCGACCAGTTCTTTCCGTACCACGCCGTCCGGGACGAGTTCTTCGACGGCCAGTACGAGTGGCACCAGCAGCACGACGACCAGCTCGAGCGTGGCCAGTAGCACAACTGCATCTTCCCCCACCTTGGCTTCCAGTGTTTCGGGACGGCACGCGGCTACCCCCCCGTTTGCCGCTCCCAGGCAGATCACCTGCATGTCTTAGGCGAAAGCAGTTTTTCCCACATTCCTGCGGCTGTTAGCTGCACCCTGCCAGTGCACCGGGCAGTCTCATACGTTGCCAGCACGAAGCATTCCGCGGCTGTTAGCTGCACCCTACCAGAGAATCAGCTCACCGCAGGCGAATCTACCCCCTTCGCACTGCGGCTGGTATCCGCAATCCGGCCGAGCAACGGGATGTTTCAGGCGAAACCATCTCCCCGACTCTTGCGGCTGTTAGCTGCAACCCAGCAGAGCGTTGACACCATCCTGGCGAAGCTTTTCATACCCAGCATCCTGCAGCTGTTAGCTTCCACTCTACCCCGCTCTCGGTCGTGGACGGCAATCGGCTACCCCCTCGATTGCCGCTCCCAGTCCGACCTCCAGCATGTCTCAGGTTCAAACATATCTTCCCACATTCCTGCGGCTGTTAGCTGCACCCTACCAGAGCACCGGGCATTCTCATGCGGTGCAATCGCGAGCTTCTTCCTACTTCCCGCGGCTGTTAGCTGCACCCCCCCAGTGAGCTGCAGGTCACAGGCGATGCAATCCCCCATCGCCCTGAGGCTGCTAGCCCGGCGGGCCTGGTCACCCCAACCGGCTTGGCAGGCGTGGCCCTTGCCCCCCGGGCCGCGCCAGTTACCCGCTCCCCGCCCGGCTGGTCCAGGCTGTTCCTCGTCGGCACTGGCGTGTGCGCCCACCTTCGGCCCTCGGTGCTTTTCGAGTCCAGGCAACTGTCCGCTGCCTCTCTCGGTTGGGCTCCCTCCCTCTTGCCCCCCCTGGGGTTCGGGGTATGTGACGACCTTGCTGTTCGGCCGCGCTGGCCCTGGAGATGGCCTGATGGATTTGGGGTTGCAAGTGCCCTACGCTACCGCCCCTCTCACTGCCGGTGGTCAACTCCGTGGTTTCCTCGCCCTTCGCGACACCCTATCTGAGTGCATTGGTTCGGGTATGTTGAGATCATTACAAGTGCAGGCAATTCGGCAAGGAGCGGTTGTCTATGGTCTGCGTTTGAGCTGCGGCTTAGCACTCTGTCTTTCGGCTTGTCTTCCTCTCTCTCTGCTCCGTCGCCCCTTCGCCTTGCCCTCTTCCTGCGTGCCTTTGTTCGGCTTCCTCCGCCGCGTAGTTCTCGCCACCGTTGTGGCTCTTTTCCGCCTGTCCTGTTAGCTTGGCCTTACGACTTTATTGACGGTGTGCGGTTGGTTCCGCGACACTCGCGATCAAAAAGTAACCCCACCAGCCCATCCAGAAACGATGCCCAGAGGAATTGCCTCGGTCAGGGAAGTGGGCAGCACACAGAGGAAGTGTTCCCCAGTGGAGGCCTCTTGGAGCGTCTTGGGGGCCTCTTGGCGGTCCCGGGCGCCTCTTAGAGCGTCTTGGGTGCTTCGGAGAGCTTCTTGGGGCCTTTCGGGGGTCTCTTGGGAGCCTCTTGGAGGCCTCTTGGGCGCCTGTTGGGGCCTCCTGTGGCCTCCTAGGCGCCTCTTGAGGTTCTCTTTTGAAGCGTTCTTGGGAGCCTCGGGAGCGCTCTTGGGGCCATCGTGGAGGACATCGATCAAACAAAAGGGAGCATTAGTTAGCGTTGCCCCTCAGGAGCCCAAAAAGTCGCCTCTTGGAGCGCTCTTGGGGCGCTCTTGGAGCGCTCTTGGGCGCTCTTGGGGCCATCTTGGGGCTCTCTTGAGCCTCTCTTGGAGCCCTCTCGGGCCATCTCGCAGCCATCTTGAGGCCTCGGATGGCCATCGGAAGCGAAAGGCCGAGAAAGCCAACAACATTGATTTTCCCGAGGTATCTGAAGGATTTTGGCATTTTCGGGGCCTCCTGGGGGAGCTCTTTGGCCACTTGGAGCCGTCTTGGAGCGATCTTGGGGCTTCTGGGGGCATCGTGGGACCCATCTTGAGGCATCTTGGGATATCTTGAACCATCTTGGTCGGAGGTCATCTTGAGCTTCCCAGGTGCTTTTGGGGTCATCTTAATCAGTGTCCCCCACAGGAGGCCAAAATGTGGCCAGCACATTCGTACAATCAGTGATTTTGGCATTCTCGCCGAGGCCTCTTGCAGCGTCTTAGGTGCCTCTGGGGGGCCTCTTGGGCCTCTTGGGGGTCTCTTGGGAGCCTCTTGGGTGTATCCTGGGGTCCTCTTCGGTGCCTCTTGGGGCCTCCTGGCCACCTCTTGGGGCCCCCTTGGGGCACCCATGGGGGCCTTGGGGACCATCTTTGGGCCATCATGGGTGAGATCGATCAGAGGAGGGGAGCTCCCTAATTAGCCCCCCACCCACCCCCCCAGGAGGCCAAAATCGGACCAACACCTTGGTAAAACCACTGGTTTTGGCTTCCTCGCCGATGCCGTTTTGGACGCTCCAACTACCCGCCAAACCCCCCGTCCAGGTCCAGGGGGGGGCGTAGGGGGAGGGGTCAAGGCGCCCTCTCCGCACGCAAACTGTTTAGTTCACTCCCACCCGCCCTCCCGCCAGATAAATGGCATCCGAGTCTCGGCATAGCCAGGTGTCGCCACTGGATGGAACCAAAGCGGACGCTAAGTGCGCGACGCTCGCCGCGGGCTCCACATGCGGTTGGTGTGCCATCCTTGTAAAAAACGTGATCCCCCCCGTCCGCATGGTCCAGATACTGATGTGGGGGGCGTCAGCATCGTTCTGGGCCTGCGCACAGCAAGCATCATCATGCGGGCACCACCGCCGTCCCTGTTAAAGAACAATACAACGTGATCGGGGGTGGCCAGCACAATACCCACGACGTTGTCGCAACGTGCGCTTTGCATTGTTTTTGACACGCATGGTGGTCCTGCATAAAGCGGCCAAGGGTGCCCCGCCATCCTTGTCAACAAACAGTGCAACGTGCTCACAGGGCGCCAGCGCACTGTCCAGATTTTGCAGCATTTTTTTTTTTTTTTTTTTTTTTTTTTTTTTTTTTTTCCACAGGGGTTGTGGAGGATGTTGGCGGGTGGGTCCCGCAATGTGAATTTCGTATTGTTTTTTGACAGATGGTGGGGGGGGGGGCGGGTGCCCTCATGGTGTGCGCATGGTTCTGGGTTGGCTGCCGGCCGGGTGGGGGAGGGGGTGTTTGTTAATAGGGAACAGTGATAAATTCCTCCCCGAAGGGGAAGGAGGGGGTTGGAAGAGCAAGCTCCCTAGACCACCTACGCCCTAAAGTGCTGGTGGGATTTCGTGCTCCTCGGGCTCTGGCCGATGCATGCTCTTTGGGTCATCATCTGTCGGTGAGTATTGGCCTTACTTTGCACTGGGCTGCTCGCGCTTCAGTTCATTTTGAATCGAGCTCGCTCTGCGCACTCCTCGGGTTCTGGCCGCTGCACGCTTTTGGGCTGACAGTCCCATCGCTGCACCACCCATTGTTTGCAATCGTGGTTGGGGTCACTACACTCACTCACTCTCTGCTATTTGCTGTACCTCTCTTTTTCTTTTCACCATCCCTCCTGCACTGCAGTGGTGGACGTATCCTTGACTGCGCGGCTCGGCAAAGCTCGGTCGCAATTCACGCCTCCATCCGTGGACCGCGCCTGAGATTCCTCTGCGCCGCTGGCTTGAAAGTGTGTGAGATTCGTGTCGATCGTTCCAGCCGTGTGTTTTTTTCACGGCGTCGTGAATTTCCCACGGCGGGTGAAAGATGTGGAATACTTGTGGTCTCTGGGGTGTCCCAAACCATGCGTGTTTCATTTCTGTTCTGTCTTGTTTTTACCTCAATGGGTGGCCCGTGAACTTTTTCTACTGGATATCGGATTAGCTGTTACTGCTAGAGAGCGATGGTGATGTGTTTGGAGCATGGAGCATGGCCTTGATACTGCAGTCCGAGCTGCCCAGGCGAACTCCGACGACAATCACAATCTTGAAGATCTAATTGCGTCCGAGGTTTCTGCTTTCTTGAACAACTCCGGCGCCGACTCGGACTCGTGATCTCACTGGCTGTGCCCTCGCCGCCGTTTTGAGCATGGGGATGAGGCAGGACCCATGAACGAGTATGTGGAAGGGCATGCCTTCTGCGCTAGATCACTCTTGACGGCTCGCATGTGCAGTCTCCCACTGTCCGGGGCCCCATCGTAACCGAAGCTGAGTGTGTACGTTTCATGCCAGCACCTCATAGTCATTCGGATACGTTGTTTTTGAATGTCTTGAGACGTGATTTTGCAAGTCAGTATATCGAGTGCGCGGGCGCGGAGTTGAAGGCTCATCCTGCAACCCTGCAGTGCCCATACATGCGGCATGGCGCCTGCTTGGCCAACTTGGGGTCTGGAGAGATCGAGGGGAGTCGTCACTCGAACCAATCCGTGCCGTCTTGAGAGCCCCGCTGCTGTGGTGCTTTGGCACCAGGACGCAAAGAGTTGTGGCTTGTCTGGCGCCCTCAGTCCTTGCCCTTCCCGCGAGGGAGCCCTGGACGCGGGGCGTCAGATCCCGTTCCCCTACTGACGGGAGAGTTCATCTTCAGATTCTTCTGTGTATTGTTATGACACTTCTTTGTTTTAGCCGCTCGGCGGCGGTGGTTGCCATTGGGCAGACCCCCCTTAACATTCTAAGACTTCGCGTTGGCCTAGCGGCGGACTTATCCTGGGGTATGGCCAAACATGTCGCATGTGCTTCCTTCCTCAAACACGAGCGACTTCTGGAGTGGTTTCCGACGGTTTCTCGCAGGCTTCTTGCGGTTTCCGTCAAATTTCTTTATCGTTTCATGATGCGCCAAGCGCAAACCCATCTGTTTCGCCTGATACATCCTTACACACGTGCTGCTATCAGCTCAGGTTTCGGCGATTTCCTGACAGGCTTTCGAAAGCCCCCGCGGTTCCAGTCGATTCCTGTCGCGTTACTTCGCGGAATTCACACGAGAGAGTCTTCATCGTTGCGTCGGGGGCCCTCGCAGAGCTGCTAGGTTTCCGAAAGCCCAAGAGGTTCCACTCGAATCCTGTTGCGTTTCTTCGCGGAGCGTTCGCCAGAGGGTCTTCATTGTTGCGTCGGGCGTCCTCGTGGATATCAGAAGCCGTGGCAGCTGCGCTGCGTCGCTGGGGGGATTCGGCAGGATCCTCGAGTGCTCTGCGTTGACCAGGCCGTGCGCTACTGCCATTTTCATCGCAGCGCCCGTGTCCGTTTCAGCTCCGACGAGGCGGGCGCCGTGGAGGTTTGTTCGGGCACAGTTGCGTGCTCGAGCCAAATTAAGCGCCCGCTCGAGCCACAATGCTCACGGAATCCAGTCATTTGATGTTCTCGAGTTCTCAGCGGGCGGCCCCAGAATCGAAAGCAGAAGCCTCCACCTGTCCGCAGGGATCCCGAACGCCGACCCTGCCCCCCCCTGCGGCGACGGCGAGCACCCGGAGAGGGACACGGCAGGATCGCGCCGCGTCGGCTCGGCGGCGACCCCAGCGCGGGCGCTCCAGGTGGGCAGCCGCCGGTGGCCCGGAATCGGCCAGCATCGAGCGATCCGCGCCGTCGGCAAGCCTCGATCGTTCGAGGTTGAACGATCCACGCGGTGTCAGGAGTCAGCGCGCCAGTCGTGCCGACACGAAGTTGCCGCACGGTGTGCCAGGCCACCCCCAGGCCAGGAGTCGCGCTCCGCGCCTGTTCTCTGGGAGGCTGCCGGGCCCGAGGGGCCAGGGGGCGTGGGCCCAGAGCATTGAGGGAGGAAAAAGTGGGGGAGAGGGAAGGGAGGGGGAAAGGACAAGCTGGGTGCGCTCGCGTCATATCTGACGTCCTACCCCTCCCTCCCATCCCTTACCATGGCGCTGATTTTCTCTATCCGCGGACGCGTGTCGTAGCGGACCTGTGGCTCCGCGCGCGCGTGCGTAGTGGGTGGTGGTGCGCGTGCGTGCGTGCGTGCGTGTGTGCGTGGTTGTGGTGGTGGTGGTGGTGGTGGTGGTGGTGCTGGTGTGGTGTGGTGTGGTGTGGTGTGGTGTGGTGGTGGTGGTGGTGGTGGTGGTGGTGCGGCGCGGTGGTGGCGGGCGGATGGGCGCGCGAGAAAGAGGCCCGCGCTGGGGCGAGAACGCCATCCTGAACGACGGAGGCCAAACACCGATCCGAAAATGAGGCCCACGCTGCAGCGGGAGCACGATTCGGAACGATTCGGGAGCAGAAATGAGGCCGGCGCCTCAGCGAGAGCAGCATTTTGAAAAAAACGCAGGCGAAAACCCGTTTCCCGGGAATCCTGTGTGTAAAAAAAAGTACGCGGGGGGGGTCGGATATCTTCGGGACGCCATCAGGGGAAGTGGGAGAGTATTTTCATATTGTGTAATTGTGGAGGAGGATGAGGAGGAGGAGGAGGAGGAGGAGGAGGAGGAGGAGGAGGAGGAGGAGGAGGAGGAGCAAGGGAGGTAGGAGGCGGAAGGGGTTGGGAGGAGTTCCTCTTTCTTCTCTTTTCCCCATTCCCTCGGCGACACCTTTCGCCTCTTTCAGCCTTCCTGGGGTCGGCCGCGCTTTTGCACCAGAGGGCTTCTCCAATGCTGAAGGACGACCTGTGCAAGAGCAGGGCCTTTTTCCCTGGCGCGCGGGAAATGCAGTTGGGGACTTCTGGGGGTGTGACTCGGCTTGTTGGCCGCGTCGAACCCCCCAGTGGGTCACGAAACGCGCGCGCGGGTTGCGCTGAAATGGCTCGGGCCCCGTGTGGCCAACATCTTGGCGCTTGGTGGTGGGTGACAGCAGGCCCGATAAATTCGACTTGGATTCCATTTCCGTACACGCCTGTCGTTGAAAGTGGGTATTCTGGGATTCCCAGATCCCAATTTACTTCAGGTGCCTTCCTACTTCACGAATCGATATTCTTTTGCTATGTTTTGTCATTCTCTGGGAGGGCCTGAAACCAATCTACTTTGTCCGCCTTCCTACTTCATGCCTTTACCTACTTCTTCTGACCGACGGGTATGGGGCGCGCCAGACAGGGCCTCGTCTTGGGTCGGGTCGGACGAAAGAGCAGGAAAGGGAACGGGGGAGTTACGAACTCTGCTGCATATGCAGCTGGTCTCCGCCAAGCCGCCGGGCCCATTCCTCGATGCATGGGCACCTCCTGGCGCCGTGAGGCGCCAGGAAAAGCAGCTACGTGAGCTGATTCTCACCCCTGCCCTCTGCTATCCTGCCCTTCTCGTCCCTCCCCCCCGATTCGAGGGTCGAAGAAATTGACGTCCCCTCCTCGGCGGAAGGCCGGCGGAAGGCGGCGGATGCAGAATGGGGGCTGCTCCGCTCGGCGGCAGGCCAGCGGAAGCCGGCGGAAGTAAAAGATGCCCACCCAGGAGATGTCGGGCGACGAAGTCTATACACGTCCACTGCTCTCTGGCCAGGCCAACCTGAACGCAGGAGCTGTGTATACGCCCTGCTGGCCAAGCCAGGAGGGCGCGGCGTTTACGCCGCTGCTGGGTTCAGGATAGGCCTGGCCAGGGAGCAGTGGATGTGTATAGACTTCGTCGACCTAAGATGTGAACATTTTTAGATTCAGGTTTCCCGAAGCGTCCCATGAATTCCCCAGACGTGCACGGCAAGTGCCGTGCACAAAAAATGGAGTGCCAGTCAGTTTCCCGTGCTCGCTCCTTTCTTCGAGCGTCTCTCGTGCCTGAATGCCGCTCGCCACAGCCATGCTATGCTGTTGCGTACCACTGCTCCCAGTATCTCTCATAGTCGAGTGGCTCCCTGCCGAGCTGGGTGGAATTCTGTGCCCGCCCGTGGCTTACTGGCTTACTGGCCGACTTGTTGACGTCAACGGACAGTTCGGGGAACACTCCCAGCCGCACCCCAAGCCGCACCCGAAGCCGCCACCGCGGAACACACTTTGGGCCGTCTGCGGGCGCCCGCATCCGCCGCCCGAGGCTGTGTCCCCGCAACCGCAGGCCGCACCCGCAGCCGCCCCACGGGCGCCCGCAGCCGCAGCCGCAGCCGCACCTGGAGCCGCACCCGCAACCGAACCCGCGCGCCTGCCACCGCACCCGCAACCGCCACTGGGGAAAACAAATTTGGACCAGCAGATGTCCGCAGACGACCTCGGTGCACTGGGCCGCGTTGGCGTCTCCCGAGGCGTCGCCGATCCTCGACCCAGGAATGATACAGTGTCGAGTCTACAGGCCCTCAAGAAACTATACACCGTACCGCGTTGGACTCCAGAGTCTGATCTGGTACGGTGTAGGGGCGCCTTTCTCGTAGAATGAACATGCCCCAGCCGCGCCACCGTGGGGATCTTTGAGTCCAGACCGGCGGCTGATCATTTCATAGCAGACAGAAGTCGTCGTCGTCATCATAAGCACCATCATCATCATTGTCATCAACAACATCATCATCATCCTCATGATGATGATGATGATGATGATCACCATCATCACCATCATCACTACCACCACCACCATCATCATCATCATCATCATCATCACCACCATCATCATCATCATCATCATCATCATCACTACCATCATCATCAGCCTCCTCCTCCTGCTCCTCAGCACCATCATCATCGTCGTCAGGATCTCCATCATCATCAGCATTAGCATCAACACCATAAGCATCACGATCATCATCACCATCATCACCATCATCATCATCATCATCGCCATCATCCTCATCACTATTATCATTATCATCATCATCACCATCGTCCTCACCATCATCACCACCACCATCATCTTCATCATCATCATCATCACCATCGTCCTCACCATCATCGTCACCACCATCTTCACCATCACCATCATCACCATCATCATCATCACCATCATCACCATCATCACCATCATCACCATCATCATCATCACCACCACTATCACCATCTTCACCATCACCATCATCACCATCGTCACCTTCATCACCATTATCACCATCATCATCATCATCATCATCATCATCATCATCATCATCACCATGATTACCATCATCAGCATCATCATATTTGCTATAAGCGTAACCACCGTCGTACCATTATCATGCTCGTCCACTGGCACCCACGATACCGTGGTCGCCATCATGATATCAATTGCCAGCACCACTCGAATCCACAGACGTCATTATTATCACATGCATACCCGCTGTTCGTATGGACCCTTGATTCCTCTGTGAGCGGCACCTGGGAGTGGACGGCAGTTCTCCGCTGGGGCATTGCCGCGGGGAATCCCCATTTCACACGGCTGGTTTTGATTATTTTTGCGCTACGAGTTGCTCGTCTGTCAGTCAATCGTTGCCGTTTTGTACCACCGTGTCCCCGCCATCTTTGCACCCCGTACTCCTGTCTGGTGGAGCAGCGGATCTTTTTTTTCGAATTGCCGTAATCCATAGTGGAATCCCGCCCGAGTATGTTGGTGAGCGAAGTTAGATATGACGATCGATCGCGCAGCGCGCAGCCTTGCGCGAAAAAAATGCTTGGCGAGGAAGGGGGGCAGCAGTTGAGTAGCAGGACGAGACACGGGTAATGAGGGCAGCAGTGGACAGGTTTGGAGGGGATGCTAAGGGAGGCCATGAGGAGAGGAGCAGAGGGAAAGGAAGGGTGAGGGAGAGTGGGAGGGGAAGGAGTAGGTAATGCATACATCGTCTAGCCTGGCGTCCGTCTTGCCAGCGGCTACCAGGGCCAATCAAGGCTCCTCGTTGAGCCTCCTCTTCTCCAGTTTTCCTGAACCTCCTCTTATTCTCCGCTGGCCGTGCAGCAACGCGAGTGAGAAGAATGACGGAATGGCGAGGGAGAGGAAAGAAGGATATTCAGAAACAGCGAGCAACATGTTCATACAGAAACAGATACATGCGGAATGCATTGATCCAACAGCCTGGTGTTTGGGAAAGCGTTCAGAGACGTGATCACATTCTTGACAAGCTACTTGCTTACAGCTACCATTGCGAAGCCAGTACTATAATCGCTTCGCCTCATACTGCGGCATTTAAGCTTTTGCGCAATGTAGCCAGATCCGAAACGTCTGCGTCTGGTCTCGACCTGTGATTGTACTTGTGCTCATTTCGCCCAATTGTGTGTTTGCTCGTTGCTGACGGTAGTCTGGAGCATGGGCACCTCCTGCTGCAGAGACTCCACCCGATCGCCCCGCGTCGCGAGCTGCCGATCATATTTCTGCATTGCTAATGTTGGCCTTGGACACCTCGGATTGCATGGCGTCCAGCATCTCGCTCTGCTTACGGAGCTGCCACACGTACCCCAAATCGCGCATAATCAGCTTGGACATCTTGTACTGCAAGGCCGAAGGCCGTCACGCGCCCCGCGTGTCGAGCTGCCGCTTGTACTCCCGGTTCTTCGCCGTCAACGTAGGCATCTCGTGCTGCAAAGCTACCAGCTCGCGCTCCATCTGCTTGGCGCCAGCAGCCTCGGCTCGGCTCGAAAGTGACCATCTACTGGACCGGCTTCGCCAGTTGTTCGGCCTGCCTGCCCACGTCAACTTGCTGACCGCTGCCGTGTGCTCGGCCCACTGCCGAACTTGTCATGAAACAGCTCGGCACACCCTTCAGCTCCAGTTCAAGGGAGCAGCTTGGCACGCCGTCGAAAAGTGATTTGGATGTCCTGGACGAGCGCGACGTCTGGGTGGCCGGCCGCATTCCTGGCCTTTCTCAGCTTGTCGAGCCGTGCCGACCGACTCGCCCTGGCGGGGCCGCGCTCCCGCAACAGAACCTCCGCTGCCGCGATGCTCGGCTTGCTGCCGTAGCCTGTGGCGCTGTCCAGCGCAAGCGGCACCTTCTCCGTGTGTGCGAGTAGGCTGCCGCCGCCGTCGCTGCCGCCATCGGCGTTCAGCCCTGCTGCGGCTGATCCCCGCGCTGTACTCTGCGCCGCTCGCCGTGCAGTCGCAGAGATCAGCTTGCCGAGCGGATTGCACGACCCGCCTGCCTGGATCGCCGCAGTCTTGTCTCACTCCTCCCTCCTTTCTCTTCTTCATCTTTGTTAATGTCGTAGCAGCTGGCATCTTCGAAATCCATCCATCCTCCCTCTTACCTCCTCCCTCATCCTTCGTCTTGAATATCGTCGCACGTATTTATTCCTCTGAAATACCTCCTGCCTCCTGTAGCCTTCTCTCTCCTGCCTCCTGCCGGTTCCCTGTTCCCACCAGCCTTACATTTTTTTGTTTCTTATCTCTCTCTCTCTCTGTCTCCCCCCTCTCACACATTATCATTTTCCTCTTCCTCATCCCCCTGCTTCTTTCCCTCCTCCTGGTAATGCTCCTTCCCTCTCCTCCTTCTCCTCACCCTCCCCCGCTCCTGCTGCTCGTCCTCCTACTTCTGCATCCTGCTGTCCTTCGCCCTCATTCGCGTCCTTCGCCTCCTCTTCCTCCTCCGCCGCCTGCTCCTCCGCCGCGTTCTTCTGTTCCCCACTATCCCAGTCTGGTAGCTAGCAGCGAGATTTACACTCTCCATCCCAGAGGAGGAGGAGGAGGCGGAGGAGGAGGAAGAGGAGAAGGAGGAAGAGGATAATGAGTATGCGGGCGATTGCGGTGTTGTTGGTGATGACGATGATGAGGCTGATGACGACGACGATGCTGCTGATGATCATGATGACGATGATGAGCATGCACATGCTGAATGTGATGACGATGATGGTGGTTCTGATGGCTATGACGAGGTGACATGGAGGACGACGCTGCTGACAATGCCGACGACGACGATTGATGATGATAATTCTGATGATGATGCTGATGATGATGATGACGATGCTGATGACGACGATGCTGATGCCGATGCTGCTGCTGATGATGATGATGACGGCAATGATGATGCTGATAATGATGCAGTGGATGATCATGCTGATGTTCATGCTGATTCTGATTGTGCTGATAGATAGTTGTGGTGATTATGCTGCTGCTGTAATTCTTATGATGATGAGGAGAATGAGTGGGAGGAGGAGTTGGAGCAGGAGGAGGAACAGGAGGAAGAAGAGGACCAGTGTAAACCTAAGACGCATCAACGATGTTGCAATCAGCCCTCCTTCCAAGTTCCCCCTTCATAGGTCCCTACAGGATTTGGTTTTCATTGCGGGACGTGCGCCCCATAGGAAGACAGCCGTTTGAGAATCCTCAATCGTATCAAAACGCAATTCTTAGGACTTCAACGCCGCGAATCAACGTGACTGTTCGACTTGTCAATCCCAACTATTGCCAGAACATCGTGACTGCTGCGTCCTGGCAATCCGAAGTCGGGCCAGACCACCATTCCTGATACTTCAATCATACCAATCCTTAGAGCTGTTGCAGGCTTTAGGACCAATGTGCGCGGCGCTGCGGCGAGAGCAACATTTTGAAAACCACCCGCTCTCCGTCTTTGAAGCTGTTGCAAGTTTTTCAAGATGACTGCGCGGCGCTAAGGCGAGAGCCACATTTTGAAAGCCACCGGCCCCCCATCCTCGAAGCTGCTGCAAATTTCAAGCTCCAGGACCGTTAACGGTGATGAAGTTTCAGTCGAAACGCCAGGACCGCCCTACGGACACGTCTGGGGGTGCGACTGGGAGGAGTTGTTTACAAGGAACAGGGGTGGAGGCGGAGGAGGAGGGGGAGAAGCAGGAGGAGGAATGGGAGGACATGAGTTGAGGACCAGTTGCAGGGGGGGAGGTTGATGATGATGATGAGGAGGAGCGCGGTGTTCACGATAATGATGCTGGTGTTGATGATGACGGCGATGGTGGTGGTGATGATGATGGCGGCGATGATGATTATGATGATGATGGTGGTGATGATGATGATGATGATGATACTGATGCTGATGCTGATGCTGATGATGCTGCTGCTGCTGATGATGATGATGATGATGATGATAACGACGATGATGATTGTGATGAGGATATGAGGATGATGAGACGGATGATGAGGATGACGATGAGGAGGATGAGGATGATGCTGATGCTGATGCTGATGCTGATGATGATGATGATGATGATGATGATGATGATGATGGTGATGGTGATGCTGATGCTGATGCTGCTGATGATGATGATGCTGCTGGTAATGATTTTGGTGTTGACATTTCATTATTATTGTTGACCCCCCTCCAGTGCACATTACATTTTTCAATTGAAGCGCCCCCTCCTGGGGCGCGCACCCTGTCTTTCTACAAGGGGAAGTCTTGAGCCTCAGAATGCGCCCGTGGCCGCTCTGACCTCCAGCAACGTCTCCTGCCCGATAGTTCCTCGCATTTCATTGATCATCGCGCTCTCAAGACGGACTTCTTCAAAAATTATGCAGGAATCGCGCTCTCGCGTGGTACGTCCTCGCTATTTATTGAGTCGCCCCGCCCTTGGCACTTAGGAATCACGCTCTCGCTCTGGACTTCCTGACGATTTACTAGGGGATTGCGCGATCGCTCGAGAATTCTTCGCGATGCATGCAGGACCGACGCTTCAGCGATCTGCCTGCTCGACCCGGCCGTCTGGGCCCGCCCGCAGGGCCCGCCTGTTGGGGTCCTCCGGCCCGACCTGTGCTTCTACTCCCCCTCCTGCTGACCTCTCGTGCTCCATCCCTCTCCCTCCCTCCCCCCTGTTCTTTCCTTCCTCCCTTGCTTCCCCTGTACTAGGGGCTGCAGGTAAAGAAGATATGCCCCCAAGGGGTTGCATGTTCACATCTAGGCAATATTGTTGATCCCCCCTTCCCGGTGCTCATGGTGTTTTTCAATTTAAGTACTCCTCCCGGGGCTCGCACCCTGTTTTTCACAAGAGAAAGAAATTGATGGGGTTCAGACTGGGCCCCTTGCCCCTGGTTTGCAACAACAGCGGTTCCCTCCTGATACGTCCTCGCACTTTACTGAGAATCGCACTCTCGCGCTGGACGTGCTTACAATTTCTGCAGGAATCGCGCTCTTGCGTGGCATGTCCTCGCAATTGTTTGAATCGCCGCGCCCACCACACTCAGGAGTCACGTTCTCGCTCTGGACTTGCTCACGATTTATTTGGGAATCGCGCTATCGCTCGAGTCCTCCTCGCGATACATGCAAGGCTGACGCTTCAGCGACCCGCCGCTCGACCCGGCCGGCTCGCCCAGAGGACCCGCCTGGAGAAAGTTTTGGGGCTCAGGTTGGGTTGTTGGCCCCCGAACAACAACAACAACAACAACAACAACAATCATTTTACCCGAACGCGTGGTGTTCTCCCCAGTGCCAGGGTTTTCATACGACACCAGGCAATACCCCCACTTCGTGGGGGGGCATTACAAGCTCTACCAAATATCCAAACGACTCTTCGCGACCACCCAAACCCAGCTTCCCGCCCTATGACGTTGGGACACTTCACTTCGTGGCGTGCGGACGACCGTGGCTACTACACTGGCGTGGGGTACACACCCACAGAACTTGGTCACTTATTCGGGGTCGTGTGATTTTATGATGCGCGGTGGTAAAATTCTGAAGAACCCAATGGTTTTTGGAGATTTCGGCGTGCGCGCGCAAAAAACGAATGTGTCCCGCATGGTATTATTTGACAGGGATGATGGCCCTGGCAGGTGCGCAACCGTTGTCGCAGAAGTTCGAAAAAGTTGCTCGCAAAAGCCCGTTTGACAGAAATGTTTAAAAAGTGTTGGGTTTCCTACGAATCCGCAAGAGCGCGCGGGATGAGATTTTGACATTTTTTTGTTGAAAAACCATTGGTTTTTTGATGTTTTTATGTTAAAATCGCTCCGAACACTAAGCTTTTGGAAGGATTTCGTCTTGCGCGCGCGAATGTCCACTTTACCTTATTTTTTGCAAGGGATTCTTGAAATTTGATTATATTAGAACAAGAAATGTCATTTTATAGTGTTTTTTGCAAGGGAAAGCGGGGGGGAACAAAACAACCGGATCTTGATCACATCGAATTACCTGAGGCTTCCTCACGAAAATGATGAAAATGTAGCTGCGGCCTAGGCGGCGCAGGGGGGCCGTGCACCAGGGGTCCCAACAATAATTATTCTTTAGAATTAATAATGTTCAACAACAACAACAACAACAACAACAGCAACAACAACAACAACAACAAAAACAACATCAACATCAACATCAACAACAACAGCAACCACAACCACAACCACAACCACAACCACAACCACAATAACAACAACAACAACAATGGATCCCGCTTGGTATTTCTTTACAATTTGTTCCCACATCGCGCTCTCGCGAGGGATGTCTCCACAATTTGTGCAGGAATCGCGCTCTCGCTTGGCAATTCCTCGCAATTTATTCAGACGCCGCGCCGTCGACACTCAGGAATCACGCTCTCGCTCGGGCCTTTCCCACGTTTTAGTTTGGAATCGCGATTCATGCAGGACTGGCGCTTCAGCAACCCGCCTGCTCGACCTTGCCGCCTGGGTTTGCCTTCCCGACCCGCCCGTCAGGACCTGCCCGTCTGGTTCTGCCACATGTTTTCTGCTCTTAGCCCCCCTCCTGCTACTCTCTCTCGTGCTCCATTCCTCTCCCTCCCCCTGTCCCTTCCTTCCATCCGTCCAGTCTTCCCCTGT